AATATTATAATATATTATTTTATTATAAAGAAGATATTTTTTAAAAACTGTAAGATTACATTACAGTTTTACTGCTCAAATTTTATTTATTATTTGTATTTTAGAAGATAACAATGCATTTTGCATCCTTTATGCTCTCGTGTTAAGATAAGAAAAGTCACGACTCCCCTCTATACTCTATTATGCTCGAGAACAGTAAGCTATGTATGCAAATTTAGAATGACCTATTGCTGTTATCTTTTTGTAAAATTTCATCAAAATCTAGATAAGTATTACTTTATGATATCAGATCATTAAGAGGTACTATCTAACCAAAATTTATTTATTCCGTACTTGTCCTTCAGTAGAAAAAAGTAGTAGAAAAAAATAACTATAATAATAATATAGGTGTGTATTATAATAAGCAATTATCAAGATACACATATATAAGCGCGAATCAATAAGATCCTTTAGAAAATATGAAGATGCGATATCAATAAATTGATTCCAATAATCGTTTGATTAGCATATCGGACCGGCGCATAATTATCGAGATTCAGCCATGGCTCGTCAAGCGATTCGCGGTGCAGGATATGAAATCGCTCTGGGCGCCATGCCGAAGTCAATCGGCCCATTGACCTTTGTCTTCACGGGCAGCGGTAATGTTAGCCAGGGTGGCCAAGAGGTCTTCCAAGAGCTGCCTCATGAATACGTGCCGCCCGAAATGTTACGGAAAGTCGCCGAACACGGCGGTATGTTGCAATTCACAAAGTCGTTGTTCGCGTTTCGCAATTCGTGGAACGTTTTATCTAAGTAGAACAACCCAGCAAACGAGAATGGATTAAAATGGATTGAAATTTTTTTTTATCCGAATGCGTATTTAAAATAGCGAATATTTTTTTTGGATTTAATTGGATCCAATTGAGTTCAATTAGATCAATTGGATGTAATTAGATTGAAAAACTGCATTTCGTATTCAAAATTTTGAATTGAACAGTATTCAATGTGTTTGTGTGCACAATGTGTTATGTGTGCACAGAAAAAGTTTTTGCTAATTATTTTTAGATTGAAAGGTATAGAGATATGCTCCATGTAATTCCTATAAATGAATAAAAATGCATTCAGGATTGAAAAGCATTTATTTTAACATTCATGAATCAATATTTCTGAAAATCTGAATCTATTTCAATTCATTTCAATCTATTCTCGTTTGCTGGGAAGTCTTGATAACGTCAAAATGATAACATTAAAATGAAGCATTGATTGAAAAATTATTCATAATAATGTTGGAATTATTTCGATATTATGAGTTATGTTTCTGCTTGGACTCTTGAATATCGCTTTTAATCATCGAACTTCTCGCAAACATCGTAATCATCATTTGCGCGAATTTTGATTCGAAAATTATCTCTTTTTGTCCTGCTGCTTCGCGATTTTTAAGCAATCTTTAAACTGCAAAATATTACAGCGGCTGTAATATTATTATTGTCATTTAAATTACATTGACATTTAAAATAAAATAGTTATAATTATTGTATATAATTTTTAAATATAATTGAAAGAAACATGATGCAAAAACTGATGAACTCCAGTTCTTCTGATGAAAATATCTTTTAAAGTGAAACTAAGATATCAAATATATTCTGTGTTGTTATAAAAAAACAGATAGCTCCGACAGCTTTGAATAAAATGATTTGTTATACATATTGAATAGTTTTTGTAAAATTTCGCACAATATACTTTTGATAAAACAGTTTTTTATTAATATTGTAAAAAAATTTAAAAATCGACTAGTTTTAAAATCAGATTAGTTTTTAATTAAACTTTTTTTTTTTAATAATTAAACTCTTTGCATATTAAAGTGAAATAGATATTTAGATGACAGACAATGAAGAGTTCGGAAAAAAATTCTTTTTTTATTCCTAACTTATGAAATGAATTCTTATTTTATCCCATTTCTAAAAGTATTTCTGAAAGGATTCTCAAAAAATTTAATTCACCAGTCATAAACTTGTTTTAGATTTAAAAAGTATTTTTTTCCTAATCTTTTTTATTTCTTAATTTTATATAACAATAAATCGTATTTTGATTTTGCAAATTAAATATTACTTTTATTAAAGATAACATATACAAATATGCATATAAATATATTTTTTAATTAATACTTTTGAGGCTTTCATAGATATTTTTTTCAGAGCTGCAAAAGATTTGTGGGTATCGTGATTTATTACTAAAGCATTATAGTTTTTAATCTATTTTGAAAGAAATCTTGAGTTTATTTCAAACAAATTAATTCATAAACAATTTAAAATGATGAGTACTTTTTAATAGATCAGTTATTGAGTTATTGTGCTATCTGGATATATTTTAATATTTGAGAGAAAGAATGTTCTAATGCAATAAAATGGTCCAATGCAATAAAAAATAAAAAATAAATTTTGTATCTCCCATACGATATTATAATCTTAATAGCTTTGTGATAGGGAGGCGTGTCTTAATCCCTGCGTCATTTTTACATCATTGTATTTATTATTCTTTACTATTTTTTTAATGATAAAACTCTTTGCATAAGGCTCATGGAATTTATCATCGTCATATAAAGTAAACAAAGATATTTATCACGGCAATATTATCTTATCAATGCTCGGTATTTGTATTTTCTTCAAATCGTTCCAGATACGACGAAAATATACGGCTGCGAAGTGCGGCGCAGGCATCACCTGGAGAGGAAGGAGGGCGGCGGTTTTGATCCTGAGGAGTACGACCAGCATCCAGAATTGTACATCTCCACGTTCAGCAAAAAGATAGCATCGTACGCCTCGGTGATTATCAACGGTATATATTGGGCGGTAGATTCGCCGAAGTTGTTGACGATACCGGACGCAAAATATCTTCTCAGACCCGCTAATACACCATGGCTACCGATAAGTGTCGGCGCGCCCGCATTGCCACACAGGATGCTCGGTATTTGCGACATATCCGCGGATCCGGGTGGCAGCATCGAGTATGTGTACTCGTGTTTATTAGGGAGATTCGTCAGAGAGCGAACCCAGATATAAGAGACACAATATTAAGTCATAATGATATTATAGAATCTTATCATGACGTCATTTGTCACTTAAAAATAAACTTATAACCC